GTATGTAACTATATTAAAGCTAAATACATGAGGGTAGGGACTGTCTATCTTGTTTGTTACTGTCTTGGTTTGGGTTTCCACAGAAGCAGACCCTGGGTTAAGCAGACCGTTACGTGCAAGCAATTTATTTGAGAGGCGATCCCAGGAAACACTGATAGGGGAGGAAGACAGGGTAGGGAAGTTAGCCCAAAATGAATCATTACTAAACAAGTTAGCATCATGGGTAAGTGGAACTTAACTCCACTGGAAAACTTAGGAAACAGGGTATTACACACATCTCAGAACTGTCCCACCTGAGGAGTAAGGGAACTTGGGTATTTATATGACAGTTTCCATTAGTCATTGGTTTAGGGCTGCCCCCATGTAACATTAATGGTACATCCATATGGAAAAGAATGATCCATAATTCCTACCTCACTTCACACAAAAATATAATGCAAGAAGGATCATATGCCTAGCTGTAAAAGTTAGAACCATAAAATTTCTGGAAGAAAATGTGGGAGGATAAGTGTGCAACCTTAGGGTGAGCAAAGTTTTTTTTAGGCAAGACATGGAAAACACTATTAAAACCACCCAAAAAATTAATTAAAAAGTACTTAATCAAAATTAAAAACATCTGTTCTTTACAAAAACATTGTTAAGAAAATGAAAAGGCTAGTAATGGAATGGGAAAATATTTTCATTACATATATCTGACAAAGGACTGGTGCCCAGAATATATAAAGAACTCCTACAAATCAACAATGTTCAATGATTTGAACAGACACTTCACACACAATGTATACAAATGGCCAATAAGCAAATATCATTCATCATCAGGGAAATGTAAATTAAAATCCCAGTGAGCAACCACTACACATCCACCAGAATGGCTCAAACTAAATACTTAGTAAGGCAAATATCAGCAAGGATGTGGTCACGTCAGCAACTGGAACTCTTATATTTTGCTGATGGGAGTGCAAAGTGGCACAATCACTATGGAGAACTCTTTGGCAGATTTTTACAAAGTTAAATATACATCTCTCTAAGACCCAGAAATTATATTTCTAGGTATTTATTTATTTATTATATATTTTTTGAGATGGAGTCTCGCTCTGTCACCCAGGTTGGAGTGCAGTGGTGTGATCTTGGCTCACTGCAACCTCTGCCTCCCAGGTTCAAGTGATTCTCCTGTCTCAGCCTCCCAAGTAACTGGGATTACAGGTGCCCACCACCACGCCCAGCTAATTTTTGTATTTTTAGTAGAGACAGGGTTTCACCATGTTGGCCAGGCTGGTCTCGAACTCCTGACCTCAGGTGATCTGCCCGCTTTGGCCTTCCAAAGCACTGGAATTACAAGCGTGAGCTACTGCACCTGGCTCTCTAGGCACTTATTGAAGATAAATGACAACACACATCTACAAAAAAAAAAAAAAAAAAAAGAAAGAAGAAAAAAAAGCTTGTACAAAAATGTTCATAACAGCAAAAACAAACAAAAAACTAGAAAGCATCCCAAATGTCCACCAACAGGTGAAAAAAAGCAAACTGTGAAGTAGTCATATAATGGAATGCTATTTAGCACTAAAAAGAAATGGATTATTGTCACATGCAACAACATGGATGGAGCTAAAAAAAACAAAATTACACTGAATGAAATAAGCATATATAAAAGAAAATACTCTGTGTGATTTCGTGTATATAAAGTCCGGGAACAGGAGAGCTAAGGTGATAAATCGACCAGTGGTTGCCCTTGCAGGGTGGTCTGATTTGAGTAACGGAAAGGAGGCACTCACAAGGGAACCTGGTGGTTTTGAAAGTGTTCTATATTTTGTTGTGGATGGTGGTTACATGAATTTACATAGGTGTCAAAACTCACCTAATTGGATATGTGAGATCTGTGCTTTTTATTATCTAAAATTATACCTTAATAAAGATTACAGCTTTACCTTTTAAAAAGAAAATACATTAGCCATTAACAATAGTGGATAATTTGCTCAGTGTTCTACCCTCTACTAGATTGTGAGCTTCAAGACAGCAGAAGCCCCATTTGTTTTGCTCTCTACTATATGCTCAGCACCTAGCATAGCACCTGGGATCTCCTGAGTGCTCAAGTCATATTTGTTAATATTATAAGTTTGTGAGAGCTTCTGTGCATTGAGCTGTGGCTTTATCATATCTCCCTTTGCAGACATGATCTGTTCTTGGCAGACGCTGGTGGCCCCAGAAGCTCAAGCACAGGTGCATTGTCTAGGAAGGGAGCTTGCAGGTGGGAACCCAGCAGGGCCCTGGGTGTCCTTGGGCACTGACAGGGTCCCAACTGTGAGCACCATCTGCTCCTGCGAAGGGTGTCTGACAGCAGCAGCAACCCTGGACCTGGAAGGTGAGTACCTCTGAGACCCAATGTCAGGCTCCCATTCCCATCCTCCCTGCCTGTAGGGAGTCCACAGAAAGTCACTTTAACCCTGGAAATAGAAAGCACCAACATATGTACCACTTTGTAATTTACCAAGTGTTTTCCCACATATGTTCTTATTTTATCTTCTCGATGACCCTGTAAAGTAGTTGTTTAATAACACTATTTTACAGAGAGGTTAACTGACTTCAACAAGGTCACACAGCTGGGAACTGACAAACCTGGGATTCAAACCAAGTTTTTAACCATTTATTCCTACATTAAATGCAGTATTGCTGTGTCATTTATGGACCTTCAGAAGCTATTTCTGAAACCCCACCCCTTTGGTAAGCTTTACTAGACTGCTGGAAAGATAAGTAGTGGACCCCTCTTGCCTTTAATCCAATGTATCCCATATGCTTCCGAGATATTAACCTACCTGGACCACTACTAGGATGGAGTCATTCTCCTATGCAAATTTTTCATATTCCTCATCACCTACCAAGTAAAATTCACATTCCTTAGCTGCTGTTCAATACTCTTTTGTCCCAGCTCACCTCTGTAGCCTCATTTTCCTTAAAAAACAACTTTGCATTCTAGCTAGTCATGTCATTATCCTCATTTCCACAACTTTACTCCTCAACTTCTCCTTCACATGGAACAACAGTTCCTGCCATCTTCCCTTGGGAAATTTTTCTCACCCTTCAAGTCCTAACTCGAATACCACTGCCACTCCCTATTCGGAAGATTTTTACTTCATTTGAACCCTGAGAGCACATGGTTTGTACCTTTCCGGTGGCATTAACTGTCAGGTGTCATGGGTATATTTGCACCTTGTTTGTCTTCCTTATTAGATCCTGTGGTCCCAGAAGGTTAGATACATGGCTTATCCGTTTCTGTAGCCCCTGTGGTGACTAGCATAGCTGTTTGCACACTGTAGATATTTAATTGATGCTTTGTAGAGTGAATAAATTACCACCTATCCAACCATTGTCTATGAATTGAATATCCTTTGGTATACACAGCTTTAAACATTGTTTGTGTTTTAATTCTATTTTATGTATTTGGTTAGCATAGTCTCTACCCTCTGTATACTTTGCTTCTAACTTGACATAGATTGCATGAATATCTAAATTCTTTGCAAATGAGGTGGACACATGGATACTGTGGAATCCACAGCTCTACTCTGGCTCTGTCGTTCACTGATTGTGTAACCTTGGACAAACCACATCTACTCTCTGGATTATTTTATTTTATGAGACAGAGTCTTACTCTGCAGCCCAAGCTGGAGTACAGTGTGACAATCTCGGCTCACTACAACCTCCGCCTCTGGGGCTCAAGCAATTCTTGTGCCTCAGCCTACCGAGTAGCTGGAGTTACAAGTGTGCGCCACCACGCCTGGCTAAGTTTTTGTATTTTAGTAGAGACGGGGTTCACCATGTTGCCCAGGGTGGTCTCGAACTCCTGAGCTCAGGCAATCCGCCCGCCTCGGCGTCCCAAAGTGCTGGGATTACAGGGGTGAGCCACTGTGCCGGGTCACTGGACCTTATTTTGCCTCCGTCTATTAGATAGGGGTAATAATCCCCATTTTGCTTCTTTAATTCACCACAAGGTTGTTGGGAGGATAAAGGAAATAACAGATGTGTAAGTGCTTTGCCGCCTATAAATCACCCAGAAATGTCATTTCATTGCATCTGCTGTTGGATGTAGGCACATCTTTTGCTGCTGGCAGCCCCCCCCCATCTGCTCCTCTCTTTCGGTGAAAAATTGACTGTCGGGTGGCAGGGAACGTCGAGGAGCGGCACGATGGATGATGAGGAAGTAATCGGGTCTCCTGAATGGCGTGTGGAACTGGGGCTTTGTTGTGGTGGGTGTGAGGTGAAGTGGGGACACTGTCTTCTGAAAGGCCGCTCTGAGGAAGGGAAACGCGTGTGTCCAGGCAGCCTCAACTACCAGCCTAGTCCCAGTGTGTAGGTTACAGGGAGTCAGCCAGTTTGGGAAACTTCTCAGACTCAGAGCTGCAGAAGTTGACATGGGCTGCCCGAGGGAAGGTGTGGGCCCGAATGCTGTGCAAGCGCGACTTCAACTTCCACTAATAAGAGTCACGACCGCCCTACAGTGTAGAAGTGACGGCCGGGCGCGGTGGCTCAAGCCTGTAATCCCAGCACTTTGGGAGGCCGAGAGGGGCGGATCACGAGGTCAGGAAATCAAGACCATCCTGGCGAACACGGTGAAACCCTGTCTCTACTAAAAAAAATACAAAAAACTAGCCGGGCGAGGTGGCGGGCGCCTGTAGTCCCAGCTACTCAGGAGGCTGAGGCAGGAGAATGGCGTAAACCCGGGAGGCGGAGCTTGTAGTGAGCTGAGATCGCGCCACTCACTCCAGCCTGGGCGACAGAGCGAGACTCCGTCTCAAAAAAAAAAAAAAAAAAAAAGAAGAAGTGACCATCTCGGTGCCCAAGGTCAAGAGAGACCCCCTAGGCCCGGAAATGCCCTAGGCTGGACTCTTCGGAGCCTGCCAATTGGCTTCCACTGAACGGGAGGGTGGGCCTTGGGGCGTTCTGCTTACTGATTGGTTGGATACCAGATTGGCAGGTCTCCGCCGGCTGTGCGTGTGGTGAGGGCGGACATGGCGGAGGCAGGAAAAGTACCCTTGAGCCTCGGGCTTACCGGAGAAGAAGCGACAGAGTGGCCTCTGCAGCGGTACGCCCGCTGCATACCCTCAAACACCAGAGACCCACCTGGGCCACGCCAGGAAGCTGGGACAGCCCCTTGCCCCACATGGAAGGTGAGGCCCAAAGGCGGGAATATTCCTGAGGCGCCCACAGCCCTGAGGAGGGGAGGCTCTACATATATACGGGGCCAGTGCCCTGAAGCGATGCCGAAGGGACACCAAGCGACTGCCAGGCATGTTGGGGAATGGCCAGGCCGACAACTAAGATAGAAAATACATACATAGCAGTAGGAGACATGGTTGGAACCTTTACAGTCTCAAAATAATTATGCAAGGGAGTAGTAAACATTCATATATTCATGTGTATTTATTGAGCGTCAGGTATGTGCTAGACTCTATTCGGGGTGCTAGGGATGGAGCAGTGAGCAAGATATAAACGCTCCCCACCCTTATTGATGTTTTTAGTTTAGTGGAGAATACACTATTTATCCAAATAACTAATTACAGAAGGGACAACTGAGTCATCCCGTAACCAAGCACTCACACAGGTCTAAATTTGAATCCTCGCGTTGCCAGTGAATTTCTGTGACCTTGCTTTAGTTACTTAACCTCTCTATGCCTTATTCACTTTGTCTTAAAATAGAGATAATAATATAATAGTACAGGCCCTCAGAAATACTGGTGTTCGGTTCCAGATCATCACAATAAAGCAAGTTACGAACTTTCTGGCTTCTCAGTGCATATAAAACCTATGTTTGCACTATACTGTAGTCTATTAACTTGTCTAAAAGAATTATGTCTAAAAGGAAAATGTATATACCTTGATTCGAGAATACTTTGTTGCTAAAAAATGTTAACACTCACCTGAGCCTTCAGCAGGTCAGTCTTTTTGCCGCTGGAGGGTCTTGCTTCATGCTGGTGGCTGCTGACTGATCAGAGTGGTGGTTTCCCAAGGTTGGGGTTGCTGTGGCAATTTCTTAAAATAAGACAACAATTCAGTTCGTCACATGGATTGCCTCTTCCTTTCAGGAAAGATTGCTCTGTAGCATGCAATGCTGTTTAATGGCATTTTTACCCACAGTAGAACTTCTTTCAAAATTGGAGTTAATCCTCTCAAATTTTGCTGCTGCTTTATCAACTAAGTTTATGTGATATTCTAAATACTTCGCTGTCATTTCAGCAATGTTCACACCATCTTCACCATGAGTAGATTCCATCTTAGGAAACCACTTTCTTTGCTCATCCATAAAAAGCAACTCCTCATCTCTTCAAGTTTTATCATAAGATTATAGCAATTCAGTCCCATCTTCAGGCTTCACTTCCAATTCTAGTTCTCTTGCTCTTTCTACACATCTGCAGTTCCTGCCTCCGCTGAAATCTTGAACCCCTCAAAAGTCATGCGTGAGGGCTGGAATCAACTTCTTCCAAATTCCTGTTAATGTTGATATGTTGACCTCCTCCCATGAATCACAAATGTTCTTAATGGTATCTAGAATGGTGAATCCTTTTCAGATGTTTTCAATTAACTGCCCAGATCCATCAGAGGAATCACTAGCTATAGAAGCTATAGCCTTATAAAATGTATTTCTTAAATAATAAGACTTAAAAGCTGACAATTACTCTTTGATAATGGGTTGCAGAATGAATGTTGTGTTAGCAGGCATGAAAACAACATTCATCTCTTTGTACATCTCTATCCAAGCTCTTGGGTGACCAGGTGCCTTGTTAATGAACAGTAATATTTTGACAGGAATCTTTTTTTCTGAGCAGTTGGTCTCAACAGTGGGCTTAAAATATTCAGTAAACCATGCTATAAACAATTGTGCTATCATCCAGACTTTGTTGTTCTATTTATAGAGCACAGGCAGAGTAGATTTAGCACAGTTCCTAAGGGCCCTAGGACTTTCAGAATGGTAAATGAGCATTGGCTTCAATTTAGAGTCTCCAGTGGGATTAGCCCCTAATGCAAGAGTCAGCCTGCCCTTTGAAACTTTGAAGCCAGGCATTGACTTCTCCTCTTTAGCTATGAACATCCTAGATGGCCTCTTCTTCTAAGAGAAGGCTGTTTTGAATATGTTAAAAAATCAGATCAGGCTTTGGCTTAAGGGAATGTTGTGACTGGTTTGATCTTCTATGCAGACCATTACAACTTTTTCCATTTCAGAAATAAGGCTGTTCCACTTACGATTCCTGTGTTCACTGGAATAGCATTTTTAATTTCCTTTAAGAACTTTTCCTTTGCATTTACAACCTGGCTAACTGGCATAAGAGGTCTAGCTTTTGACTTATCTTGGCTTTCAACATACCTTCCTTGCTAAGCTTAATCATTTCTAGCTTTTGATTTAAAATGAGTGATGTGTGATTTTTCCTTTCACCTTAACACTTTGAGGCCATTGTAGGGTTATTAATTGACTGGATTTCAATATTGTTACGTCTCAGAATAGTGAGGACCAGGGAGAGGGAGAGAGACAGAGCAAAGGCTGGTGGATGGAGCAGTTGGAATATACATATCATTTATTGATTAAGTTCACTATCTTCTATGGGCATGGTTTGTGGCACTCCAGAACAACTGCAATAGTAACATCAGTACAATAGTAACAATGGTGATCACAGATCACCATCAGATATAATAATAATGAAAAAGCTTGAAATATTGTGAAAATTACCAAAATATGATACAGAGACATGAAGTGAACACATGCTGTTAGAAAAATGGCACTGAGAGACTTGATTGATGTGGGGTTGCCACAAACCTTCAATTTGTAAAAAATGTAATATCTGTGAAGTGCAATAAAGCAAAGTACAGTAAAGGGAAGTGTGCCTGTACCTACTTCATAGGATTATTTTGAGCATTGAATAAGCTAATAAGTATCAATCACCTAAAATAGTGCCTAGTATGTGTTAAGTTACATAGGGGTTTGCTATTATTATTATTTTGTTCTAGTGGTATGTTTTAACACCATGGGTTGCCAGTCATTCAGTTCCCTTTTGTCTGGTTTGACTACTGGATGCGGAATCTGGGATTTTGGATTATACACATACATGTATGTCACATGTGTGCACACATGCATACATGTTTGTGTATTTTGGGCAGCAGTAGGTAGGAGAAGAATTAAAGAGAATAAAGGTCCCAGGTAGCTGGGCGTGATGGCTCAGGCCTGTAATCCAGGCACTTTGGGAGGCTGAGGCGGGTGGATCACCTGAGGTCAGGAGTTTGAGACCAGCCTGGCCAACATGGCAAAACCCCGCCTCTACTAAAAATGCAAAAATTACCCAGGTGTAGTGGTTGGTGCTTGCCTGTAGTCCCAGCTACTCAGGAGGCTGAGGCGGGGAATCACTTGAACCTGGGAGGTGGAGGTTGCAGTGAGCTGACATCGTGGCACTGCACTGCAACCTGAGTGACAGAGCAAGACTGTCTCAAAAATAAATAAATAAATAAAATAAAATAAAATAAAAATCCCACAACCTGTACAGAGGCCACAACGTACCTGAAAAACCTCTGCATGTGTAATGTATAGTGAGAAGGCTAACAAATCTGGTGCTTAGAGAATAAGGGAAATGGTAGCTTGAGATAAGCCTGTCTGAAGAGGTAGGCAGGTGCCTTGTGAACATTATTATAAATCCAGTGGGAAGCCACCAAAGAGTTTTGGGCAGAGGCATTTTCGTCTTTGAAAGATCACTCTGGTTGTGGTGTGAAGATGGAATTGGAGGGGAATATGAGTGGATTCAGAAAGATCATATAGAATGCTATTGCAGTGTTATAGGCAAGAGATGATGATGGCTTAGACTAAGGGCATGGCAGCAGAGATAGGAATATTAGGAATATATTTTGGAGACCAAAATGAAAAGGCTTGGTGCTTGATTGTATATGAGTGGCAAGAGTAAAGGACTTCTGGGTTTCTAGCAGAAGCAACTGAGTAGATGGTTGGAGAATGGGAAACACTGGAGGAGGAACAGTGAGGGAAGAATAATCCAAGATTTCAGTTTTGGATGTATTGAATTTGATAAGATTGTGAAGCATCCAAGTGGAGATATTGGATAGATAGTTGGGTATATTGGCCTAGACTCAGAAGGAAGATCTGGGCTGGAAATGTAAAGGTGCAAGTCATCAGCATAAAAATGATATTTATAGTCATGGGATTAGGTGAGATTCGGGACCAAGCTTAAATGTAATCCAACATTTGTAAGTTGGGTAGAGGGGACAGAGCCCCAGAGAAGATTGACAAGAGGCCTGGCACAGTGGCTCATCCCTGTAATCCCAGCGCTTTGGGAGGCCAAGATGGGTGGATCACTTGAGGTCAGGAGGTCAGATCAGCCTGGCCAACATGGTGAAACCCGAGGTTACTTGGGAGGCTGAGGCAGGAGAATCCCTTGAACCCAGGAGACAGAGGTTGCAGTGAGCCAAGATTGTGCCACTGCACTCCAGCCTGGGCAACAGAGTGAGACTCCATCTCAAAATAAATAAATAAATAAATAAATAAATAAATAAATAGGAAAACACAATAACAAGATGGCTGAATAGGAGGAACAGCTCCAATCTGCAGCTCCCAGCAAGATCAACTCAGAAGGCGGGTGATTTCTGCATTTCCAACTGAGGTACCTGGTTTATCTCATTGGGACTGGTTGGACAGGGGGTGCAGCCCATGGAGGGCGAGCCAAAGCAGGGTAGGGCATCGCCTTACCTGGGAAGCACACGGGTTCTGGGTATCTCCCTCCCACAGCCAAGGGAAGCTGTGAGAGACTGTACTGGGAGGAATGGTGCACTCTGGCCCAGATACTGCACTTTTCCCATGGTCTTCGCAACCAACAGATGAGAAGATTCCCTCTGGCGCCTACCCCACCAAGGGCCCTGAGTTTCAAGCACAAAACTGGGTGGCCGTTTGGACCGAGCTAACACCGAGTTAGCTGCAGGAGTGGTTTGTGTTTTTTTTGTTTTTTCCATACGCTAGTGGCACTTGGAAAGCCAGTGAGACAGAACTGTTCACTCCCCTGGAAAGGGGGCTTAAGCCAGGGAGCCAAGGGGTCTGGCTCAGCGGGTCCCACCCCCATGGAGCCAGCAAGCTAAGATCCACTGGCTTGAAATTCTCACTGCTAGCACAGCAGTCTGAGGTTGA